TTCAAGGCCAGGTTGGATGGGGCTTTGAGCAACCTGATCTAGTGGAAGGTGTCCCTGCCAATTGCAGGGGTGTTGGACTAGATGATCTTAAACATCCCTTCCAACCCAAAACATTCTATGATTCTGACATCATAGTTACAGCAGCAGTTCTCAGTGAGAATGAGATCTCGTATCTCAGTATTTGCCAAATGTCTTTGAAATCACTCTTGAAATGAGGCAGTATTTAAATGAAAAATAAACAACATTTTATTCCGCTAACTACAAGCTTACAAAACGGGTTCTTAGTTTTGGTGAAGAAAACAAAGCATTGGCACATCTCATTACAGCAGCTCTCGGACAGATTCTCGGAGCATCCTCTGGTTTTCACTTGGGCAGGAGTTGACAGGACGTAGCTGCAACTTGTCAGCTCAGGGTCCCAGATAACATCCTTCCAGCATTGTTTTCCAAACAGCAGTCTCTTGAGTGGTGCCAAGCCTCTCCATATTTGACTCTCTTCCCATTTAAGATCGTACTACATAGGACTGCACCCTTGGGGATTTTCTGTAATCTAAAAACTTGATGATCAATTGAACTATGATATTAAATTATGAGACTTCTATTCACAAGACAGTCTGATAAAGCATTTGCTGTTGACAGCGGGAAATTCTTCATGCAGGCAGTCCAAAGAACATTGCCATCTCATTTATCAACAGACAGCTCATTTAAGTGGTTCAAATGTAATCCCTGCAAAAATTGGGAAAAAAGAGTTCCATTGCCTCCAAGTTTAGAAAGTGTACATCTTTAAATTTTGTAAAACATAAATTTTAGAAGTAGTTATACAAAAATTTGGGGGAATGTTAAAAAATACATTTAATTACCAGCTTTAGATAGTGACTGCCATTTACTTACGTTATTGGCAATGTGGCTCCCCAAAGGTCACTATTAGGGAGCCCTTCTTACAAGTGTTTTGCTGGGGAAAGATTACAGAGCATGGGAAGGTCCAGTTGGATCACAAGCCTACTTCCAACACACAAATATTAAATGTAAATGTAGGCAAATAAATGGCCTTAACCCATTTTAGGGGACTAATTATTTAATAACATGGTAAACAAATATTTCTCAATGACAGGTCAGAAACTTCAGCAAAAAAAATGGAGAGACACCATTTCAAAGGGAGACACCTGAGAGCTAGGTGTTTCTCTTTAAAATGCACATTTATTAGCTTTACAGATGCATGTGAAAACACAAGAGACGCACTGCTAACTTAATTCTTTGCACACTGCTGATCTGCCAGCTATGGGGAGAGCTGGAAATCAACATTCAGCAACCAGACATTTCTTCTATAACTTTACATCAGATATATCTATATATACACACAAATATATGCTTATATATATATATATATATATATATAAAACCCTGCGTACAAAAAATTGGGAGTAGATGGCTCTGACAACCTTTTCCTCATTCCAGTAGTTTTTTCATATTCCACAGTAATGCAGGAGAGCAGATATATGGTCCTGGTTGCCACCAACTCTTCTGACTTGCTACTATTTCTCCCCATAGAAGAGATCTATGTGCTGCCACTCCACTCCCCATGAAGCTGGTTGGCCCAAGTATTATACATTTATCAAGGCAGATCATCAATCAAACCATCTTTTTGTTGTCCAAATGTCAAGAGAAAGGAAATTTGTATGATCTGTTCTTGCAAGCCCTCCCCTGCCACCTTTCCTCTTCAGCCAAAGCAAGAGAAATGGAAACTGCTTTCAGCCTCAGTTTGCAAATCCTCTGGCATGGTAGCATTCTCAGCCTCTGTCTCTATTTTTCCAGTACAGACGCTTGTTGGAGTAAAAGTGGACATGTCATGACTTAAAGTAATGGCACTCCAACAAAATAACTTAAATAGAATTCACAGTTTTTGAAGACTTCGGATGAGCAATTGCATTTAGATAGAATCATTTAGGTTGGAAAAGACCTTTAAGATTGAGTCCCACCGTAAACCTAACACTGTCAAGTCCACCACATGACCCTAAGCATCACACCTACACATCACATCTACGTCTTTTAAATACCTCCAGGGATGGTCCCTCAACCAGTTCCCTGAGCAGCCTGTTCCAGTGCTTGACAACCCTTTCAGTGAAGAAATGTTTCCTAATATCCAATCTAAACCTTCCCTGGTACAACTTGAGG